TTTGCAGCTGTCATAAGTAGCATTTTATATGTCTAAGTATTTCTCAAACATGTTTGTGTTGAAAACTGACTTAAGTTCAGTTTGCAATTAATAAGTCATTGTTGCAGCCCCCGCTGCGGTGCCTCCCTCAACAACCAGCGGCACAATGACAACAACTCTACCAAGGACGATCATGACTGTGACCAGTGTCACCACAGCTGCCACCACGTATGTTTGGGTTTTTCAAACTTTGACAAATTTTAGATTCAAATTTTCACTTTGTCATTGTTGTTATTTGACAAAGCAACCTGACCACCTTGGATGCCATGGATTCTTTTCCTCTCTTTCTTCTAGTATGGGATCTGCACTGATCAACATTCAGATGAAAATTAATACTACAGGGCGTGTCCCCAATGACCAAGACATTCTGAGCGCAGTCAAATCTCTCCCAAATCCACTGCTTTCAACCAACATGATCACCTTGACTCAGCCTCAGAATATCCAGGATATCACTGTGGCAAGTGAGTTTCCCACAGACCTCATCTGATTCTGAAGTGAACTCACTCAGTCCCCTCTCTTCCTTGCCAACAGGACAGATCAAGTAATGATTTGGAAACAGTTGTTAGCATTTCTTCACATGTGATGCACTAAGCAGTTGACCGGCTTATCCCAAGTAGTTTGCGATAGATTCATGATACTCAACAAATCAATTCACAGGAAATGACATTAACTTTAAATTTTTTTACTTTCTTAGAACACACACAAACTGACCAGGGTTAAGCATGCGTAGCAAATCAAAATATCATATGCCTGGATTGATATTAGAAATGTGGTCAGAGGTATCTTTAGCAGAAGTGCATTCCATTTCTCTTACTTTATCTCTCTTATCGCATTCAGATACGTCCAACAATTCCTTTGTCATCAACTTCGGATTCAAGGTCAACAATGTGAACATGTCAAAGGATGCCCAGCTCAGAAATGAGACTCATGACCTGATTCAGGACTGTGTCAATAAATTGGTAAGAGTACTGATCATTATTATTATAAGAATTATTAGGGAATGCAGGCCGTTCTTGTGGCTCTCATCCGGTTTATGGTGGCCAGTAGTTCGTCTGTTAAGGAAAGTGGTTCCTTGTTGGCAAACCAGTTGGATGGAGGAACACCGGAAACATTATTGTGTTGTTGTATGCACCAGTCAGTAGAAGAATGCAGCTCTAACTACACTCAACTTTGGAGACAGTCAGTGAACTACCGATAAAATGACTGGGCCACATCAGGTTGATCTGTGACTTTTACTTGTCTCCCCTCTGTCATTCGCACTCCAGCTAAACACGATACTAACAGATCAATCAGCACCACCTGCGGTATTTCCTCCAGCAAACTTCACGTAAGTCATGACCCCATTATTGCTATTTACACCAAAGTGAGAAATGCTTCTTAAGGTAAATCATGAAAGTAAAGAATGACAGAATTTCCTGAGGAATGTTTTGTATCCAGTTATTTCGTCCTTGCGTCATGAATATAGAAGTTGCTCATGGATACTGCTTATTTGTTGATCTCCACAGGGATACAGAAAACCAGATAATTGCTCGTGTTGACTACAACGTGCAGAAGGGAAATACTGCTAGCCCAAGCCTTTTCCTTTCTGACATCCTGAAACTCTCTGGTATGCATCACATAGCATCATCATAGCAAAATTCATAACCTGCCTAGTTTACTATGCTACCCATACCTCTTTACTAGGCATGTAGGTCTATTCAAGATGACCCAGTAATAAAATATCACAGCTTTCAATTCAGAATAGCTTTTTGCAGCTGTCATAAGTAGCATTTTATATGTCTAAGTATTTCTCAAACATGTTTGTGTTGAAAACTGACTTAAGTTCAGTTTGCAATTAATAAGTCATTGTTGCAGCCCCCGCTGCGGTGCCTCCCTCAACAACCAGCGGCACAATGACAACAACTCTGCCTAGCCCAACTAACAGAAGGACAATCACCACAGATAAGACCATGTATGTTTGGAATTTCAGG